AATAGATTTATTGAGTGCCACAATTGTGGTAGGCCTTCCTCACAACCTTCTGAAATGAGTACTTCTACCACTCTATTTTACAAATAAAGGTGAGGCACAGAAAAGCCAAGTAACTGACTGAATGTAATATTTTCCAAGTAAGGAATATACAGTGTGGCACAAGACTGGGGAGAATTCTGTCTCCTTCCCTAATGAAACACAGCATAGTCTAGGTTTATTTATGTCTACACTTTGCTCAATTTAAAAATGGCTTCTAAGGAAACTAAATATGTGTCCCAAAGAGGCACTGAAACATTTTAAAACTACATTCTTGGAAATGCTTGTCATTGTCAGAACAGGCTATGTTTTGAGCTTGTTTTTAACCTCTAATGCCATTATCTGTACCAGTCTAAGTCCATATTAATCCATAAACTCAACATATGACCTTTATGAGGAATAATGTCTGGATACACTTAGTAAATATCTTCATTTTAATCTCCCTGATCATCAAGTCTTCATCAAAATGTTATATAGTGACAGTGTTTACTGAGCATTTAATACAAATCATAGCTCTGAAATGGAAGGCTATACTGTAACTGCAGAAGCTGAATTTCAAAGAGTTTGCTCCAGCCAGTGAACAGCACTGCCAAAATATGAGCTATTTTCAATATAAATAAGTTAAGACACATAAATAAATTTCAAGCACTAGTGATGATATTTACAAAGGTGAACTTCATTTTAATAATATATTTATACTAGCTAATACTGTGTTTCAATATTATTGCTAACAAAATCTTTAAAGTATTTTCTACTGTCTTTAAATTTCAGTATGAATTTTATGCTCATATATATATATATATATATATATCAGTTAAGAATGTAAATTATCATCTGAATTATTTGCTATGTATTTACTTAAAAAAATACACAATTGGTCAAACACTTAATTGATTGGGAATGGAAAATGGAACACCTTTATAACCTTCTGGCAGTACCAATTAAATTAGAACATAGCAAATATATGAGCCAAGATGGGAGAAGTCCTTCTGTGTATAAGTTTGTCTTATTGGTTAATAAATAAAGCACTGTTGGTCAATAAGGAAGCAAGATAGGTGGGGCTAGGAGTAGAGGAGAATTCTGGGAAATATAGTAAAAGAGAGGGTTGTCATGTGATCCCAGAAAGATAGGACGCTAAGGCCAGTGTCTTCAGTAAGATAAGTCCTTATAAAAATATGTAGATTAGTAGTTATGGTTGATAATTAAGACTGAGATAGCAAATAAGAAATTCTAGTCATTGGCCAGCAGCATTGTAACTAATATAAGACTCTGTGTGTTATTTTGGAGCCCTAATGTGGCTGTGGAACTCAGGCGGCTGGCAGAAAGAGTTATGGTTACAAATGGCGCCCATGTGGTTTTACCAACTTCCACATAAAAACTTCACAAAAACTTAAAAAATGAATTTTAAAGGAAAAGAACAGAGACAAACACAACTTCTTGGTAGCAGCATTTTCTCGGGTAGTCTCTGTTTTGCTAGAGACAAGCAGAGACTTGAGTGTCTCCATTAAGGGAGCTTTCCTGACTCAGCATAAGTGGAAAAAACTGCAGGGCTCTTTTAAGAGGCCCTGCTCACAATTGAATGGTGTGTACCAGCAGCTGGCATTGGCAGTGATCACATCTCCAAGCCAGCAGCATGCTCCTTGATGGCAGGATAGACCAAGGCAGTGAGCACAGGTCTGGTGAACTGTATGCTGGTGGTGAACATACCCCTGCCATCTTGGAAAGACAGCTGCTAAAACAGCCATGGCTTTAGTTTTAACAATGTTGTTTAGGAGATAAAAGGCTCATTGCCAAAAAAGATAAAGATATACATTAAAGACAGATTCAGAGAGAAAAAGTAAAACTTCTAAAGGTTTACAATGTGTTTAAAAATATACATAAGACTTATGAGAGAAAAGAAACAGGATAACATAATTGAAAGAAAAAAGGAAGAAAGAAAGAAAAAAGGAAAGGAAGGAAGGAAGGAAGAAAGAAAGAAAGAAAGAAAGAAAGAAAGAAAGGAAGGAAGGAAGAAAGAAAGAGTAGTGGTGGTGCATGCTTTTAATCCCAGCATTCAGGAGGCAGAGGCAAGCAGATCTCTGTGATTTCAAGGCCAGCCTTGTGTACAGAGTGAGTTCAAGGACAGCCAAAGTTACACAGAGAAACCCTGTCTCATAAAAGGAAAACATAAAAGCAAAAGAAATAGAATTATAAAAATAAATAAATAAATAAATAAATAAGCCATGTGAAGATGAAAAATACACAAAGAGTATGGATGCTATATTGCTATATTGTTGTCTTTAAATTGTTTGATTGCCAAAGAAAGAATTACAGCTGCTAAAATACACTTGAATATAGGTACTTCTAAATTAATCCAACTTACATATTTTAAAAATGTTTTGACTTCTAAATTTAAAAATAAGGACAGGTTACTTGAGAAAAGAGTTTTTGCTTGTGTTTCCACAGGAAAATTGAAAGCTATGGATTTCTTCCAAACTAATATGGTTTGATGAAGCAAGACTCCCTGAAACAGTGTCCCAGATGATCCAACATCTGAAACAGCTGAGACAATGCAGCCTTGCAGACTACAAAAACAAGGACCTGGCCAGGTTTCTGTGCTTTATCATGATCCCCATGGTATGGATATCATCCCCAAACAGCAGGGAAGCAGTTTTGAATGAACAATGTGCATATTCCCAAATATTGTTTATAAATTTTTGTTTTCATTTAAATGGGGTTGGTTAAATGGTTAATGATCACAACCAATATCTTTTTAAAGGCAAAAGGGAAACTATGGTATATAAATAATACTTTGTATTGGAATGGATTATCATCTGTTGATATAAATTTAAGGTCAATTTTGTGATATGTATATGTCTTCTCTTATTTAGGTGTTGTGTTTATACTGATCTTTTAAAATGTAATGCATAATTAAATACAGATTATATAATCACCTATAATAAGTCAGAACTTATTTCTAGATATACAAAGATGTATTTGAGATGGATAGGTATTCTTCAAACCTTTCAAAGACCTACAGAATATGTGGCATTTAAATGGTTTAGGGTTTTTCATGACAGTGAGACACAACTGCTCCTGGAACATCAATTACATGGGAAAGGAGGATGGTCATCAAAGAATCCTGTTATGGAGTTTGTCTTCAACCTGGCAAGATTAGCCATTTGGGCAAGAAAATGCTCTTGCCTGGACTGTTTGATAAATTGGACTTGCAGGACCCACAGGAAAGTGACTGCTGTATTTGCAAAATATGACAGTCCTGACCATTCCTGCTTTCATGGAGAAATCTGCCAGACACACTGTGGCCTATAGGCTGAAGATGGATGCCCCAATGTTACAGAGGAACTTTGGGTGACTGTCCAGGTATTGAGATGTCTCTGTCAGTTCTAGTATTAATGGACTAAATATTGTAACTATAGTTCTTACTTGATAACTGTGTTGTTATATATTTTACTATGTTAATGTTAAAACCCTTCTTTTCATTCATACAGAAAAGAGGAGATGATGGGGGAAGTCCTTCTGTGTATATGTTTGTCTTATTGGTTAATAAATGAAGCACTGTTGGACAATAGGGAAGCAAGATAGGTGGAGCTAGGAGTGGTGTAGGATTCTGGGAAATGTAGTAAAAGAGAGGGTCGCCATGTGATCCCAGGAAGACAGGATGCTAAAGCCAGTGTCCTCAGTAAGGACACTACGTAGATTAGTAGTTATGGTTGATAATTAAGACTGAGCTAGCAAATAAGAAATCCTAGTCATTGGCCAGCAGCACTGTAACTAATATAAGACTTTGTGTGTCATTTTGGGGCCATAATGTGGCTGTGGAACTCAGGCAGCTGGTGGAAAGAGTTATCATTACAGAGCCATGTACCACATACTTAAACATGTACCTTGGAATTATATGTATTCCTCCAAACAGATGTTCAAGTACATTCTCAATAGTGCTGAATGTAATGGCATTAAATAAGAAGCTAACCAAATTGCCATTAAGGGATTCTATACACACACATTGAAACAGTATATAAAATTAACAAGGAAAATCTATAACTAAGTTCACTTAGCAATTTCAATGATGTTTGCAGATATAATTGATGGTGCATGTCCTTTTGTATATGTTTCTCTTATTGGTTGATGAATAAAACACTGTTGGGCCAATGGCCAATAAGGCAGGACTTGGAGAAGAAGAGAAGTCTGGGAAAGGTAGGCAAGAGAGCCCGCCAGCACAGTCATGATGTAGCAGGAAAGGGAATTGCAGGTCCAGCATTCTCTGGTAAGCCAAGACCATGTGGAAATACATAGATTAGTATTTATGGTTTAATAATTAAGACAGAACTAGCCAATAGAAGCCCTAGTCATTGGCTAACAGTTTCATAATTAATATAGTGTCTGTGTGATCATTTAGGGCTCCAGGGCCATGGGACCTGCCAGGCTAGAAAGTTTCATGTTACACATAATAACATTCAAAAGAATATAAAATAATTACAATAGCAAATGCTTATGCTTTCATCTAAATAAATATCAAAACAGTTCAAACTAATCTCTGTTAGAAATCACCGTACTTTGGGAGAGGGTATTTTGGGATGGTGTTCATGTTCTGCTTATTGCTTTGTGTGCTAATCACATAGGTGTACACATGTTAAAAATTCTACCATATAATCATTGTATGAGTATTTTCATTCATTTTGTTATATTTCATAAAAACAAAACAAAAAATCAAACAACTTTTAAATTTTTTTGCAGAACTTGGGTATATAAATAGGCATATAACTCAGTAGAGTATCTACATAGCATGCATGAAGCCCTGTGTTTGATTTCTATTACCTTATTAACCAGGCATTCTGTTGGCAGATAAGGACTAAGGCTATAGAAATAGTGGTACAAGAAATTCAAGGTCATCCTGATTAACAGAGAAAGTTAGAATCCAGCCTGGTTTACCTGAGACCATGTCACAAAATAAATAAACAAATCCATTCACCAAAACCAGTTTATATTTTGGTGTCCTAGTTATCTCTAATTGTCAATTGGACACAACATAGAGAAAGGAGTCTCAAATGAAAGATTCCCCAGATTATATTGACCCGTGGGTATATCTGTGGAGGATTGTCTTGATAATTAATTAATGTAGAAAGTCTTGGATTGTCATGGATAGTACCATAGGTAGGTAGGTGACCTAGGATATATTGGGAAGATAGCTAAGCATAAACTTGAAGATGAACTAGCAAGAAGCATTCTTCCATGGCTTCTTCTCCAATTTCCTGTTTGAGTTCCTCCCTTGACTTCCATCAATGATGTACTGTGACCTGGAAGTATAAGTCAAAAAGAACATTTTCATCTCTGAAGTTACTTTTTGTCATGGTGTTTACCATGTATCAGAAAGCAAACTATAACATACAATAATGCTAAGTGCCCTCTATTGAAATCTCAATCCCAATGTTGTTGAAATGAATTGAACTATAAAATGAAACAAAATAAATCAATTTTGTCTAAGTTTTGCCCCTCTGCCACAGCTGGCCTGGCAGTCAACTTTGAGATCAGAGTTTTAAGAATCAAACAGAAGAGAGTCTGCTGAAATCATTGTGCTAGTCCCACCCCCACTCAAGGGACAGGTGAGCACGGGTCCCTATCTCAGGCCCAACTTCCACTTTCCCTCTTTGGGATCTCCTGGCCTGGGGACTGTAGTCAGATCGACTAGCCCCCAGTGATCCAAGTAATACAGAGTCTGCTGACATCACTGTGCTAGTCCCACCCCCCACTCAGGGAAGAGGAGAGAGAGAGTCTCAGACCCACATGTACCCATCATGAGACCCATCAGAGTATTGGACCTGCTTGCACCCACCAGAAGAGAACCTTGGACCCATACCCACTAGGAGAGGAAGAGACCCCACCTGTACCACCTGGATAAAGGTATTGGAAGACAACAATATAAAAACACATTCAGCAATTGAAAAACCAATATGATGCCATGAGAGTGTAGAGGCCAACAAGGCCTGAGCATCCCAACGCAGATGAAGCAGAAGAGAATGACTTTAAATACAACTTCATGAAAATTATAGAAGTCCTTAAAGAGGATATGAGAAAATCCCTTAAAGGAATGGAAGAAAAAACAAACCAAAAAATGCAAGAAATCAACAAATCTCTTAGAGAAGGCAAGGAAAGCAAAGAAAAAAATCAAACAGATGAAAGAAATAATTGAAACAGTAAAAGACCTGGAAACTGAAATAGAGACAATAAAGAAAACACAAACTGAGGGAATGCTGGAAATAGAAAAGCTGGGTAAATGATCAAGAACTACAGATGAAAGCATAACCAACAGAATACAAGAAATGGAAGACAGAATCTCAGGCATTGAAGATACACTAGGAGAAATCAATTCATCGACCAAAGAAAATCTTAAGTCCAAAAAATCCATAACACAAAATATCCAGGAAATATGGGGCAATGTGAAAAGGCCATGCCTAAGAATAATACAAATAGAAGAAGGTGAAAAAATAACAACTCAAAAGTGCAGAAAAAATATTCAACAAAATCATAGAAGAAAACTTTTCCAACCTAAAGTAAGACATGCCAATGAGAGTACAAGGAGCTACAGAACATCAAATAGAATGGACCACAAAAAAGTCCCCTCATTACATAATAATTAAAACACCAAATAATACAGAATAAAGAAATATATTAAGAGCAGCAAAGGAAAGAGGCCAAGTAACATATAACGGCAAACCTATAAAAATTACACCTGACTTCTCCATGAAAGCCAGAAGGTCCTGGCTAGATATTCAACAGACACTAAGAGACAATGGAAGCCAGCCCAGCCTACTATACCCAGCAAAGCTTTCAGTCAAAATCTTTCTGCCAAAAGCCGCCTGAGCCCCACCACCACGTGTGCACTTTACGCCAGCTGCCCGCCAGAGTTAGGCCCAAATGAATACACAGAAACTTGTATTAGGTTCAAAGCTGTTTGGCCAATGACTAGAATTCCTCATCTGTTAGCTCAGTCTTAATTATCATAAATCTATATATTTTATAAGACTTATCTTATCTGACACCTTATTGGAGTCCTTCCTTGCCAGTGGATCACATTGTGCCGCTGGAGGAGGAGCAGAGGGGAAAAAAGCCCTTCCTGTTTCTACCTCTCTTAAATATGAGTCTCCTTGCTGTCACTTCCTGCCTGGATCAGCACTTCGCTCTACTACATTTCCCAGAATCCTCTTTGACTCCTAGTCCTGTCTACTTGCTGTCTCATTGGCCAAACAGTATTTTATTTAACAATCAATAAGATAAACATACACAATACATTCCCCATCAGCTCCTCTTTTCTGTCTAAATAAAAAGAAAGATAACTTATCTTTTATAATAACTGAGGAAAACTATAACCATAACTATCTGTCTTCAACTCTATCAAAGACCATAGAAGGATAATATATAAACTCTAGAATTG